CAGACTGTGGAACTGGAGTTTAGTGAAATGATGTTGTCACAAGAGTTCAGAGAGCAAATACTGAGCAACTGATGGGAGAAGGGATTTTTAGTCAGACTATAAAACTTATTGGGAAAAGGTGTGGTTTTTTTGTTGAAACCTAGTTAACTATGGTGGTAAATGTTTTGGGTAAAGGATGTCTCTGTTAAAAATTCAGTGTCCTGCTCCTTTAGTTAAAATTAGAGCTCAGGTTAAACACCTGAGACAGGTTCTGATGAGTCTCCCAGGAAAAACAGGGAAGACCAGACTTGACATTGCTGATGCTTTGGTGGTGAATATCAAGTAGGATTAAAAAAAACAAAACATTTTTTAGGCCTTGTTTGCACGCTAAAGGTAAAATAAGGGATGCCAGCTGTTCTTAAAACCCTGTGCTAGTCACCTCCAAGGGGAAATGTTTCTGTTTTTTGTCTAAGGTTTTTTTTTTTTTTTTTTTTTTCATGGTCTGTTCCTGTATTATTTCTTTTTATGAACTCAGGCTGGTCTCTTTCAATAGCTGAAGTGTACTTAGCAGCCATTTCCTTCCACAGTGTTCCTGTACAAGGAATTTGTTGGCTTTTCTCTGTACCTGAGTGAAATAGTTCCTTAAAGGCCTGGTGAATTTATATCAACACACATGAAGTCCTTACTGTCTGTGGGATTTTTAGTCTGTTTTTTACTTGCCAATCGGTAGCACTTAAATTTGGGAATTACCCAGTTCTCCTAAAACCCTGCCCAATAATGCTCACCCTGCTACAACTACAGCAGGTCTGGAGGGAGAGGAAGATAAAAGAATAAAAAAATTGGCCTGGCAAGATGGGCCCACAGAGAGAATCCTGAGGAACCTCCATTTGGCTTGTATGGAGTTGTCTTCTCTCTCCGTGTGTTTGTAGTACCTGAAGAATGCCATCAGGGGGAACTGGCAAACAGTTTGAAGGAAGGAAAAAGCTCACTAGATGGATCTTCTGTCCGTAAAATTTCAGGAAGCCCGCAGAAAAGCTGTTTCTTCTGCAAGCTCCGTGCACCAGTTCCTGCAAGCAGCCTGCAGTGCAACGTTCAGCCCCCCTAAATCAAGCAGAACTGCAATAATGTAAGAAGAGGGAAGAACTCATGAAAATATTCCGGAGCCACCGGATAAGTGGACAGTTGTCTGTCTTTGTGGGTGAAGATAGATCACTTTAGTTTTCAGGGCTGAGAGTTTGGCACCTTCTGTTTAAAATGTTAAAACTCTGTTCAAAGATTAAGTTCACAGATAACCTTTTTTTCCCCCAAGGGAAAATGGCAGCTATTAATCTGCCTCTGTCTTTGAAAATGAATTGCAAAGATAAGCAAACAACTAACACTGTCAAAAAATATACTTTGCCTTCCCTTTGAAGAGCTCAAATCACTATACAATCATTAATGTGAAGCAAAGACTGAGTGGTAACCCTTTCCCCATACATGCTATATACATTGGATTTATGGTTACTGTTTTGCTTTTAAAGAACCCATGTTGTTAGATGTAGATGTCATTTCCCCATAACATCGGATACAGCTCATAATTTCCCACTAAAAAGTCAGAAATCTTATTTTTCTAGAAGCATGTATTTGTTTTCTCTACTGGTTTCTTTGGGTTAAAACAAAAACTTCCCTATGTTCTTTCTATACCTTTTTTAAAGTATTGCTTTCTTAATGTGGCTTTTTGGTAGTATATTCATCTATTTTTTATTCTCAGTTGTATTTTGTTTTAAATTAATTCCCCAAGAGTTTTTTGGTAGTGGAAGGCAATTTATAATAATAATTGGATTATGATAAATTAATGTAGCACTCATTTTATAATTGTTTACTGTATAAAAGACTGAAAGCTATTGATTTATCTGAGGTTAACATTAGAAAAGTTTGCACTTGCCAAAAGATGTCCAGTAATATTCGCAAATAACTGTTGATAAATGGTTTCTGCTAAATAAATGCAGGCACTGTGGCCACTTACCTCCTGCATTTGGGGCAGCACTTTAGAAATGTGTTTGTAATTGTCTTGCATATGAGAATGAACTTGAATTATACATTCATGGCTAACTTCAGACCTCCTCTTCAAATTGGGTGATTCTGAACCCAAAAAAGATACCTTTGTTTTGCTGGTCAGATTGCATTTTTTATGAATGTAAATAGCAGATGTGGGCTTCCATCAACCTTTCTGCCTCTCACCAGTCCCACTGCTGCCAAAAACTACACCATCATTGAATCACTTATTTACGATTACAGTAGAAAACATGGCACTGCTAGTTTTAGAGATATTCTTATGTAAAATATGTTGATGGAGAGCTTGCTTGTTTGTTTGGGCTATTTGTTAATATTTGTCTATATCTTCACTATCATTCTTTTTTGGTGAATTTGAAACACTGATCTGGTGAAGCCTACTTCCTAATTGCAATTATTATCTAGTTTGCTGTTAACTGAAAATCATGTGGAACTGAAAGGTAAACAGAAGTTATCTAAATGTTTACATTTAGATTGGAAACTAAGTTTTGTAAATATACTTACAGTGGGTTATGCGCCTGGATTATATTAAACAGTTTGTGTTGATTTTTCTGAAATTATAAATATGGAGTTCATTAAATCTTAGATCTGCAGGTTCTATGGAACAATCAGTTCCTTGCTTTAAAATAATTGACTTTCTTAGGTAAAATGTCAGGAAAGTTAAATGAATAGATGTATCATTTAATATGAAAGCTTTAGCAGATATGAATAGATGAGGAAAGTAACGTGCAATAATTAGATAAGAAATCAAGTGGATGACTTGGAATAGTTAGTTTCCCATAAGACTGTGAAATAATTCTAGGTTATTACTTCTCCAGTAGAAAGGCTGCTTCTGTGTTTCCAATATTTTCTTGGAAGCTGACTTTTTTATCTTTAATGATATGGGGTAGCTGTGGTAGCGAGAGTGCATTTCTGAAAAACAGTATCTAGATAACTGTGGCAACATATACTCTCTGGCGAGTGGCAGTTTTGGCTGTGGAAACTAAGTCTTAGATTAAGATAAAAAAAGTTTTCTAAAATCAAATGAATTGCACAGCAGGGCCTTAATCGATAAAACTGTTTGAAAAGTGTCTTTGGCTCAGCTTACTGACCCATAGGGTATAACTTGCACCATAAAGCTAGAGTTACAGATTAAGAACTATTGGGGGTCTTCTGACATCAAAATTAACAACACGTGTTTTTTTTTTTTTTTTTCCTGGTGCCAGAACCTTCTAAAACTATTGGCTATAATGATTGATATCAAGGTCATGGAAAACAGACAAGCAATGTAGGAATTTATAAATCTCTGCTCTCTTTTTAGCCTGTGTGCCTCAACTTTGAATGGCTCTATGGAAAACATAAAACGTGTGCTTTTTTTCAGAATCCAGAAGTAGAATTAGAATATTACAACCATACATTTTCCCATGCCTCTGCAATAAAACTCAGAATTACTCAGGGTGTTGAACCAATCCTTGTGAGCATATCTGAAAGGGCTAATTATAGACAACACACAGTTCCCTTGTCCTCAGCAGCTGTTTATAGACATTCCTTAAAGCACATGTCTAAATATTTACCATTCATTTGTAGGTTAACATGATATTATGTGTTTGGGAGAAAATGTAAACAAAATTAGTGCCCTAGGAAAAATCGTAAATTTTATTTCTGTTGAGCTCTTGATTAATTTACTGTAGAATCAGTCTTTTCTCATATACCATAATACAGGGTTATGACTGACTACTCAGTTTGTACTTCACTGATTCTCCAATTAGTGTATTGCAGATTTATGCAGCTTCAAGGGGCTGGAGTCAATTTTTAAGTGATCTGTTTTACAGCAGTTTGACTGTACAAACACTTACTTTCATAAGTAAGGATTTATTTAGGATATGTATAGCACTTTGGCCTAAGGTCAACAATGCCAGTGTAGTTTACATGTTGACAACGCTGGCATTTTTCTACCTTATTCTGTTCTAAGAAAGATCATTTGCTGTGGGAAGTCTGTTTATCGATGATACCGTACATATACTCCTTCATTCTTTGCCTACATAAATCATAGTAAGTTAATTAGGGGAGGAGTGAATCAAACTGGGCAACATAACGCTATCTGTTAAATAAATTGATTACATTTTAAAAAATCATTTTGGGATAAACCGATACCTGTAGTATCTTTAAAATATTGACAAATACATGTGCAAAATAAGTAAAAGTTATGCTGCTTTATTTAGAAGATAAATGGCATTAGGTAAATTACATTATTGTACATTCACAGTCTTTTTTTAAAATCTTGAACACGATCACAATCTTTCTGTTTGAGTTTCTCCTTTTACGTCAAACTGTTTGTGGCACATCAGTATATGTTGAAGAAAAACTCTAGTTTTGATAACACTTGCACTTTCGGGAAATTGGCTTTCATGGAACTGAGCAGGCACATTTATGACTATGATGTTCTGTCTGTAAATGTTAAGATTTAACCAATCTCTACCACCAAACAGGAAGGCCAAAAAAAAGGTGCTTTAGTGATAAGGATGATAAGAAAAGCCGCACCACTAGTGAGGAGGATGGAGGAGCAAAAGATATGGGGGTGGGAAGAGGAACTTTGAGCTTGTGCAGGGCATGGATTTAGAATAAAATAAACTATAATTTAATGTAACTTTCCTTAGTCCCTTCTGGCAATTCTGTATTTTCTCCTGAGTTTTGTATTTGACAGAAGATTTCAAATGTTTTGTAAAATTAGTTCAAGTTTTATTTTCCAGTAGTGGTAAATAAGACATACAGTGGTATATTTTTGGAAGGTTTATTTTAATTTATGGAATCAGCAGCTTTTACTTCCAATGATTTGTTTTGGAAAACAAAACTGCATAGACTTCAGTGTATTCAAATTAATAGAGAAAATTTAACTTCAGTGCTAACATTCTCTTGTTTCTGTTTTGTGTGTTCTGTTTGTTCTGACCATTCTCTGGGGACTGTGCTTCTGGTAAATCCCTCCAATGCAGTTCACAAGATTCCTCTGCGATTCTCCACTTGAGGTATGAATTTAATCCTAATTCTAAACTTTGGAATTGTTTAATGCCAGGGTATCTTGGTTTCTTCAATCTTCTGTAAACTGTACTTCTACTAGATCATTATCTAGGTATTCCAATAAAAGGACTATCTGTAAGAGGCATAGGCTGAGATTTTCAAAGGAGCGTATGGGAGAGGCACATTCTTCCTTTGAATTTCCGTGGGAGTTAACTCCTTTAGGCTCTTTTGATAAACCCACCCATTGACTCTGGTATACACAATACACCTATATTTTAGTATTGGGGATTGCATACATTGAGGCAAAACCCGGTAGCCCTTGGTCAAGCAAAGCTCTTCAGGATTGTAGAATCAGGTCATGAAAGGATAATAAGACGTCTACATTTCTGATTGATTTTAAGTTAATTTTAAAAAATCGTGGTTGGATTTTTTTTTTTTTTTTTTTTTTACTTTTTTAATAATGGCCAGGTATCCGATTGAATGTTATAACTATCTTAGGATGCCATGCTATCTTTTCCCTCTTCTCTTTAGTAATAGCCACTAATGCAGAATCTATCCATAGTGTGGGAGAGAAAGTTATCAAATTATTAAGGGCATCATTAGTGCCCCTCAAACATTATAGTGGGTAGGGCCTTCTGTCCCTGTATTCCAGCAACATCAACTTCATTGCCAGTCCAGCAAGGTCTCTCGGCATATTTTGAGGGGGACTAAAGGGGCAGAAGTTAAGCAAAATTCTAAAGTTTTCATTGTGTTAATCTGATTTCCCCCGCCCCCACATAGGACATTTATCATTCAGTGCTACTTAGGACACCTGGTATTCTAAAGACCAGGCTTACTTTATATACTAATTACGAAACATGTTCTACAGTAATATCATATCTTAATGGTACCAAGCCTCAGTGAGTGTTTGTCCATACAAAAGGATGGTTTAACAAGTGAGGAGCTGTGTGTCTTATTTTAAATTGATTATGTTAATGTTTAACAGTTGTGGTGTCTGGTTTTTATCCTCTTAACTGATTCTTTGACTCTGTTACTACAGTACAAATCCAAGATAAACAAAAAATAAATTTAATAATTGAGGAACATGCCCGTTCGGTTCTATGTTGCAATTAACTTCCTCAGCCATCAACAAACTCCTCTCTCTGCCTTCCTTAAGAGTCCATCTCCAGTGCACAGCCCTTAGCCACTTTTGGGCACACACCATGTAGTAAGGTTGCTGTTGCTCACTAGGTCTGTGAAAGAGATCTTTTTTTTAAAATAGGTCATCCTCATTTTTACTTAAAAGGGATGCAAATGGTAAATTGGTTATTGCATCAGTTGGCTTTGCAGAAGTTTGGCTAGCATGATTGTTTTATTCCGGTCATCTCAATCCATTGTTGTGACATTGTACAATAAGACTTTAACCTTTTCAAGATCCACTCTTTTAATGTTGGGGCCTGCATGCCAAACCAGGATGGCTGTTACCAGGAAAATCTTTGTGTAAGTGAAAATTTTCACAAGATGTTGAAAGCACAATAGTTTACAGGGCCTAACGAGCTCTAAGATCTTTACTGTGCTCACATGCTTATGATTATATGTGATCACCAATTTTCTGTTCCTTTGCTCTCATTGCTGGCAGAAGTTTTTAGCACAGCCTGACAGCTAGTCCCCTAGCTGGTTCCTAAATGCATGCTTGTTACATGGCTCTTCTGCTGGTTTAAAGTAAGTTCACTAGCAGGTTTCTGGAAAATGGCTAATCTGTCAGCCTCAGTTTGTTTAATATCCCTTTTTCTTTTAAGAATTAAAACCATGGAAGAATACTTGGGGGGTGGGCTGGGCTGGGGGAAAGAGGCTATGCATAACATCTCATGTCATACTTTGGGTTATTATGTCAATACAAGTAAATTAGAAATGAGCAAAAAACTCAACATTAAGAAATATTTTCAGAAAGATTTTCTACCGTTTTGGCAGTTTGTTTGTAAAAACTGGTTTATTGTGAAGTAAAGGAAAATTAAGTGAACACATCACATTTTAATCTTATCTGCTTTTGTTCTAAAGAGGAATCCAGGACTAGTGACTAAGAACTGAGAAAGGAGTTCACAGTTTGGAATGATGATTGAGATTACTTCATTTCCAGAACAAATACTGGGAAACAAAAATGTGGTACTGTCTTTGTTGTATTTCTTAAAGAGTTAACAACCACATGATGGTAATGAAATTGTCAGGTTATAGTAATTACACCAGTAATTTGATATGTTGCAGTTTGAATGAAGCCATGTGTGGAGAGTTTGTTACTTTTCTCTGCTGAATCCACCCCCTTTACATTCCTGCAAGCTGAAGACTAATAGAGCTCATTAGACTTTATAGGAAAAGGGCTTTTATCACCTCGTCAAGTCAGGCAGCAGATTTCCATTATATTTCTAATTTTGTATGGCTACATAGATGCTGATGTACGCTTCCCTGCTAGGTTTATGCTAGTATTCTTTCTTACAGACATTTTTTATTGACATTTCGAAGCTTGAATTAAATTTTGTGTGGCACCACTTACAGATGTCTTCAATTAGATGAAGTTAAATAAAAGGGGTTGTATATCTGAGGCCAAAGGATTCTTGAAATTCTCTATTCTGAAACGATTTCCACAAGCCAATCCAGTAGGATGCAGCTTCTTCCATTTTGAGAAAAAAAAATTCAAAGCAAAACAAAACCTTATGTGAGTTTGAATTTGTTTTGAATTTTTAATCAGTATTAGCTGCAGCAAGTACCTATATTAAAATAGTCTTCCCACTCATTTTATACTTCCTTCCTTTATTACTTAATTCAATCTTGAGGTATTGCCATCAATTCTTAAACATGAATTAAAATATTATTTCTTTCGAGATATAGTAAGTGACAGGGGAAGAACAGACAACTCTCTAGCAAAAAATACAACTCTGTAAAGAGAACCATCCTATTTTTCCCACTAAGACTATATAAAAAGCATTCAGCTCTTTATCACTGCTAAAGATTTCGGTGCCTTTGGTGCCCCTTCAGTCTGTCTAGACAAGAGCAAGATTGATGGTATGGTACAATGCATAGCAATCTGCAATATAAATATTAGCAGAATAGCTAAGAATTATTCAATGAGTAGAAATAAGCATATCAGTGATGACACTCTCTTGTGGTACTCTTTGGTGTTTACTTGGAGAAAATGCAATGCTCTTAAAACAGAAAGTTGCAATGTCAAGTAAGAGTTTGTACATGAAGTTCTCTCTGCACTGAAATGAGAATTTACCTTACAAAAATACCAAGATTGGGGACGAAAGTAGGACTACAGTAAACGATCTTATGAAGTTCCAAATGGTTGTGATGTTGGCAAATCTTTATTAAGCATAGTTGTTAAATAGATTTTTGGTAATCAGCAAATCTTAGTCAGTTTTTGTTATCTCTTTGTTACCCTCATTAGTTTGCTTTTCCCACTTTTACAAGCCTTCCTATGTGTCCTCTTCCCAGGCTACTATGTTGCTTCTTTATAGTCTTTTTGCCCTGTCTTTCCCTCGCTTTGTCTCATCACCTCATTTCAGGTTCAGAACTTTGTGCAAGACACCTGTTACTAGCATTGACAGTGCTGTGCCATAGATTTGCCATCAGCCTTCTAAAGTGCACCAGTCAAACTAGCTTTCAGAGCAGGCACAGCTTACATGTTTTGCTAAACCTTCAGGGTGAGGAATGAATGTGCTTGTGACCACTGGTTTTCTGTCTGGACAACTATTTTTTTCCCTTGACCGCCCCTTCTAAAAATATTTAAACATGCTACTTCGTTAATCCCCATCCTCTACCCCAAAAAAGTCATGGGTTACTATTTAAGAAGTTAAATTTAAGGGTTGATTTATTATGAAATGCTTAAAATACGTGGTTTATATTTTAGAAGAATAGAACTAAGAAAAAGTTTGTGCTCCAACACAAATTCTAATTTTTATATCTGACCTTTTATATTCATGCTGTTCAGAAAACATCTGATAGCCAATACATTTCTGATGTTTTAGAAAAACTAAGATTAATGGGATTGGTATATAAGGTAATTCTATATTGTATCCTTTTAGCCCTTACTTACAATTTGTGATAAAAATAACTGATTTTTTTTAAAATGTCAGTTTTCTGTGCAGTTTCTTCCTGTCTTCTATCAGAGGGGTAGTTGTGTTAGTCTGTATCCTCGTTCTTCCTGTCTTCACTGGTCACAAGGCCAAGATCAATCAATACAAAAACTTTTCACCCTCCTTATTCAGCCCATCACGTTTTTGTCCATCCTTTGCTCTCCCCAGTCTTTAGTTGCATTGCTGTGTAGTGGCCATCATCTTTAACTTGTCATTTAACCAGTTTTAGTGCTAAGTGACTACAGCTGAGGAGACATTGGTTGTGAGTTTTTTCCTTTTAAGATCTTATCCTTCGCCTTTCCCCCCACATACAGATGGAGACATTGGTAAATGGCTTGTCTAGTTTTTGTAGTCTAGCACAAACTTCCTCGTTGCTGGACTTTACAAAAACTAGACAAGCAATTTACAACACACATTTTGCTTCTCTACAAAGGAAAAAGTACACTAAATTATCTAAACTACTACATGCCACAAGGGACCACAACAGTAGTGGCCTTAACAATATTGTTAATTTATCCAGCTATATTCTTAGCCCAGCTGAAGAGTCTGTCCTGTCTCGGGGCCTCTCCTTCTGCCCCTCCACCACCACAAACATGATACAGTTCTGTGGTGACCTGGAATCCTACTTTTGACGTCTCTGACTCGAGGAATGTTTCCAACACACCTCTGAACAGCACACTAATCCACAGAAACCTTCCTACCAACACTACAAAAAGAAAGATTCTGCGTGGACTCCTCCTGAAGGTTGAAACAACAGACTGGACTTCTACATAGAGTGCTTCCGCCGATGTGCACGGGCTGAAATTGTGGAAAAGCAGCATCACTTGCCCCATAAGCTCAACCGTGCAGAACACAACGTCATCCACAGCCTCAGGCACAACTCTGACATAATCAAAAAG